AAAAAAAAAAAAAAAAAGAAAAAAAAGAAATTAAAACAACAGCTATTGCTGACAACATCAAATGGAGGAGAAGATGAGGAAAAACAAGAACTCTCATTCGTTACTGATGGAAGTACCATTCTGTATTCCATCAGTTTAGCAGTTTCTTTTCTTTTCTTTTCTTTTTGAGACAGAGTCTCACTTTATCACCCCCAGTAGAGTGCTGTGGCATTATTGCTCACAGCAACCTCAAACTCTTGGGCTTAAGGGATTTTTTTGCCTCAGCCTCCAGAGTAGCTGGGACTACAGGAGTTTAGCAGTTTCTTACATGATACAGCAATTATTCTCCTAGGTATTTACCCCAATGAGCTGAAAGCTTACATATGCACAAAAACAACGTATAAAAATGTATAAAACAGCACAAATGTATAAAAAAGCTTTATACGTAACTGCCAAAAATAGGAAGCAACTAAAGTGTCTTCAATAGGAAAATGGATAAGTAAATGGTGGTATATCCTTACAAATGACTATTATTCAGTGATAAAAAGAAATAAACCATGAAAAGATAAGGAAGAACTTTAAGCGCATATTGGTAAGTTTAAAAAGCTAGTCTGAAAAAGCTAAACACTGTATGATTCCAAGTATCTGACATTTTGGAAAAGGCAAAACCATGGATAGTGAAAAGATCAGTGGTTACCACAGGTTGAGCAAACAGGTGGAGCCCAGAGGGTTTTTAGAATCATGAAACTATTCTGAGGGATACTGTGATGGTGGGTCCATGACATGATGGATTTGCAAATCCCACAGAGCTATAAAACACAGAAAGTATATAGAGTACAAGCTTTGATTAGTAATGTTTCAATATTGATTCTTTATTGGTAACAAATACATCACACTAATGCAAGAAAACTATGAGGGGGTGAGTGGTATACGGGAACTCTGTACTTTTACCCAACTTTTCTGTAAACCTAAAAATTGCACTTAAAAAACAAGTTTATTAATTTTGTTTTAAGTTTAAAAACCCTACATACCTTTTTGGATTCCGTTTCAAAAGTGGATGGCAACATCTCGGGGAAGAGTTTCAGAAACACTGGTAATAAGAATTCCATGAAGGGCACAATTATGAACACCATGAATGGGACCAGGCGGAAGAAATCAGCACAAGTTCTCAACAGCTAAAGAATTAAATGCATATTCAATACTGATTGTTTTAGGACATGCCAAAAACAAAATCTAAAAAGATCATCTTAGTTCTTAAAGTGTTAAAAACCCAAGACAGGTTGTTTATAAAATGAAAAGGCCAGGTTTTTCTGTATGCCATAGCTCTAAAATAATATCTATGTTATACTTTTTTTTTTTTTTTGAGACATAGTCTCCCTTTTGTCACCCAGGGTAGAGTGCTGTGGCATCACAGCTCACAGCAATCTCCAACTCTTGAGCTTAACCAATTCTCCTGCCTCAGCCTCTCGAGTAGCTGGGACTACAGGCACCCGCCACAATGCCCAGCTTTTTGTTGTTGTTGTTGCAGTTGTCACTGCTATTTTAGCTGGCCTGGGGCTGGGTTCTAACCTGCCACCCTTGGTATATGGGGCCGGTGTCCCACCGACTGAGCCACAGGCACTGTCCTTTATGGTATATCTTCAAGGAAATCTATGACAGTCAAAACATGTTATTGGTATCTCTTAGCTTTCATCTAATTTAGGGGGTCCATGCTTTAATACAATAGTATCAGTTAAAATCAGTTTTTAAAATACATATGCTTAAGGTATTAATGACAGTTCAAACCCAAAGCCTCTTAACTCCTTGAAGAGATTTAAAAACATAACCATTCTATAAGCAAATATATTAAAACAAAAAAAATTTTTTTAGACAGAATCTCACTCTGTCACCCTGGGTAGAGTGCACTGGCATCAGCCTTGTTTAAAGCAACCTCAAAGTCCTGGGCTCAGGTGATCCTCTTGCCTCCATCTCCAAAGTAGCTGCGCCTATAGGCACCCACCATGATTCCCAGCTAGTTTTTCTATTTTTAGTAGAGATGGGGTCTTCCTCTTGCTCAGCCTGGTCTAAAACTCCTGAGTTCAGGTGATCCATCCACCTGTTTGGACCTCCCAGAGTGCTAGGATTACAGGCATAAGCCACTGTGCCCAGCCCAAATATATATTAAAAAAAATTTTTTTTTGAGACAGAGTCTCACTTTGTCATCCTCAATAGAGTGCTGTGGCATCATAGCTCACAGCAACCTCAAACTCTTGGGTTCAAGCAATTCTCTTGCCTCAGCCTCCCAAGTAGCTGGGACTACAGGTGTCTGCCACAATGCCCGGCTATTTTATAGAAAGCCTATGCTGAGTTTGAACCCACCAGCCCTGGAGCACGTGGCCAGTGCCCTAACCACTGAGTGATGGGCACCCAGCCAGCAAATCTATAAACATTTTAAGAATATTAACTACAATTGTATAGTCAGTTGCAGACAAGTAGGAAATTCAGTAAGAAGGTCTGGTTCTCAGTAGCAGTTAGGATTTCTACTTTTTTTTTTTTAACTACTGATATTATAAGTGCAAACTACCATGCCTGGCCTTGGATTTTTTTTTTTTTTTTGAGACAGAGTCTCATTATGTCACCCTCGATAGAGTGTTGTGGCATCACAGCTCACAGCAATCTCAAACTCTTGGGCTTAAGTGATTCTCTTGCCTTACTCTTTCAAGTTGCTGGGACTACAGGTGCCCCCCACAATGCCCAGCTATATTTTGGTTGCAGTTGTCATTGTTGTTTAGCAGGCTGGGCCAAGCTCAAACCCACCAGCTTCAGTGTATGTGGCTGGTGCCCTAACCACTGAGCTATGGGTGCTGAGCCCTGGCCTAGCATTTTTAAGAAGTTTAAAACTTGGTTCCCAAATAGTTCATTTTAATTTCACATATTCCACTAGGTACAGTGGCTCAAGGCTGTGATCCTAGCCTCTGGGAGGCCAAGGAGGAAGGATTGCTTGAACTCTGGAGTTCAAGACCAGCCTGAGCAAGAGTGAGAATCATTTTCACTAAAAACAGAAAAATTAGGTGGGTATGTGGCAGATGCCTATAGTCCCAGCTACTCAGGAGACTGAGGCAGGAGATCACTTGAGCCCAGGAATTTGAGGTTGCTGTGAGTTATGCTGATGCTACTTGCACTCTACTCAGGATAACAGGGAGAGATTCTGTCTCAGAAATTTTTTTTTTCACATTTCCTTTCTCAAATATTATTCTTGCCTACCCTTCGTCTCTCTCGTCTGGTCAGCACCTGTCCATGCAACAGCCTCCAAACCATTCTGACAGCAACTTTGGTGTCAATCCAAAGTAAGTTGAATCCATTGTAATAATATTTAAGTTCATCCACAATGTTTTGTGTATAAGATCGTTTTCCTTCTTTAATCTTTGTGCCAGTTTCTTTTGTGGGATGAGAGTTTTTCGCCTGTAGCTTTTCTGTGGTTTGCTCCAGCTGAGGTTTACTAGGAACCTCTCGTAGCCAGCAAGTTGATGTGTGTAGCTTTTGTATTAGTCGAGTTGGCAAGTGAAGTGTTTTATTGCCTGACTGACTAGGGTAGGAGTACTTCCTGCTTCCATAGCTCTTCATACATGTCTTATTTAAATGGGAATCTGGCAAGTGAAGAAATGCAAATGATGGAGAGTAAGATGAGCAGGTAGGATGGACAAAATGGCTAGGGAATCTGGAACAAAGAGCAACGGTCTGAGTTAAGCATCTACTATTCAAACTTGAAAGTTAAAGAAATAGGTACTTTTTTCTGGTTAAAATAAAACAATGGTTTTAAAGCCTATGTTTTAGGAACAGCTGATGTTCATAAAAGTATGAAATATAACTTTTGACCCCAATCGAAGAACAGATGCTCTATGAGTGAATTATATGCTCTATGTGAAATATTAGTAAAATAATCCCTAAGAATTGCTATATTAGAAGTTGGAAGCTCTGTGACTACTAATTAAAAAATCTAATAGCAAACATCTTTCTTCCAGGTGTTTGATAATGTTCTTTTCTTTGTCTACTATCATAAAATAGGTGGAAGGCTTGTATCTTTAACCATGAACAGGGACATTGTTTTAATGAAACATTTCATTGTCATTGTAGGAATTAACCAGTTATATAATATTGTTTTACCTATGCAGTGCCTACGAACTCCCTCAAATGAAAGACACTTACAGTTGAAATGCCCTTCACCTAAGATTTCTCAAGAATGTTCGGAATAAAAATTAGAATTGCCCAGCTGAGGAGCTCTGCCTTTTCTACTAATGCAGTGGTTCTCAGCCTGCCTAATGCCACAAACCTGTAATACAGTCCAAAGGGGTTGTGACCCACAGGTTGAGAACCACTGTACTAATGCAACAGCCTATAACTTTCAGTTAAACTAACACATCAGATTGTTGGAGAAAAAAAAAAAGACAGATCCAGGCAAAGAAAGTTACTGGCAAAGAGATGACTTTTTCCATTCTTTCAGATTATTTTTGAAGCATGCCAAGATAAAATACTTTTTGAATACATGGTATCTGGCACATAGTAAGTGCTCAGTGAATATTCTTCTGAATAAATAAATGATAACAGACCTTAAAGGGACAGGAATATGCCCTAGGACTGGCTTTGCTACTTTATACCTAAGGCCCTCATGTGACATGCATCCATTTCAGAGGTGTCCCTCTAAAACTCATTATATCTCCTTAACCTCTACCACACATCTGCAAAATTACTCAGCCTGAGTTCTAGAGCATATAGAAAATTTTGGTAAGTTTAACTACACTAAAATCTCAGCTTCCTAAAAACCAAGAAAGTTTTAATTGTGTGCTAAGCCAATCTTTTTACACTTATCCTTTCCATCTAGAAGAATGAGATTCACATGCATATTGGGCAGGTTCCATTGCTTACCTTGTTCGAGCGATAACTAAGACTGAATTATAACTGTAGAAAGCCATATTTATTGTTGACTCAACTAGGGGCCTAGGAAAAGGAGTAAATAAACAGATAAGTATTTTTAAATTACATCAATTAAAAGATATCAGGATTTAAGTGTTTTTAACAATTGCAAGAGTAGAACATTTACATACTTAAGCTACAAAATCTCCCTTCAAGTTCATTTCCAACATTCATGAATTTTTTTTTTTTTAAGAGACAGGGTCTCACTTTATCACCCTGGGTAGAGTGTTGTGGCGTCACAGCTCACAGCAACCTCCGGTTCTTGGGCTTGGGTGATTCTCTTGCCTCAGCCTCCCCAGTAGCTGGCACTACAGGTGCCCACCACAACGCCTGCCATTTTTTTGTTGCAGTTTAGCCAGGGCCGGGTATGAACCCACCACCCTTGGTATATGGGGCTGGCGTTCTACCCACTGAGCCACAGGCACCGCCCTCATGAATGATATTTTTATAGATCTGGATCTGAGGATAGCAATTTGAAATGCCAATAAATGGAAATGATCTCTAGTAGGATAATGTTCATGAAGATGAGATGTGATATCGTCTTCAGAGACATTTTGATTTCTGTTCATTAGTAGCGTAACTTGAATGATTGCTAAGTACTTTTAAAAAGTGAATATCACGGATTTGTTTTCAATTAGCTTTCTTTTCATATTTGGGCAAGCTATACTCAGCACTCTCATTTATGTAGCTGTGAAGACACACTTGATGCCTACTCTACTAATTGCTCAAGTAGAGATAAAACGGTTTCCCTTCCTAGTGATTCTCTAAGAGCCCAAACTGTTCCAAATAACCTTCACCTTCACCAAAACCTTTCTCCATCCTGTGGCGCTTTTCTGCTAGAGGCAGCACCGAGCAGCAAGGAGCCTTAGTACCTCACGCTGTCAACTCTACTCTCCTGCAGCTGGGGAAGTACTACCAGGTCTGCCTTAGATGGAGATGTCAACCACAGAGCTCGCATTTTAACAGTCTCTGAACGAACCCAGACTACCGGTGGGCGGTGTTTTGCTGCAAGGAGACCCGACGCGGCGGTTAACCCGCTCTCGGTCCTTGGGCTCCTGGGGTTACCTTTGCTTCGAGCACTTCACGACACGGATGCAAAACGCGCTTCCTCAGTCACTGACTTTCGTGCGTGTCATGTGAGGGTGGCCTGTCTGTTGTGGGGCCTGGGGGGATTCGGGGTTTGGGGAGGAGCCTGATGGTAGGGTAGGCCCGAGAAGACGACCCTGGATGACGATCGAGGTGGTTGGAAATGTTATATAAGACGAGCAGGAGCAACAGGGTACGCAACAGAAAGGAGCGCGGAAGGAGGGGAGTGGAAGCTGCGACCCAGAGTTTGGGGCGACGCGGTCAAGGGCGGTGGGCACTGGAAGTTGTCGGGAGGAGCAGGATGCGGAGGGAGTGGGCTCGGATAAGAGGCTGGCACGGCCGCCACCTAACAGACCGGACCCAGGCCGGCCCACCCCTACCTCCTCCGCTGGACTCCCAGGAACGGCCGCCCGGGTCCTCCCAGTTTCCTCCCAGTCCTCCCCCGCCTCTCCCAGCCAGAGCGGCCAAGTCTCTACGGCTCCACCCCGCCCCTCCGACGTCACAGAGTGACGACATCATCAGCCAATGAGCCCTCATATCCTAGGGAGGGCGGTGCCCTTTTCTGGCAGCCCAGGAAGCCACAGAGTCGCGCTCCCTTCGGGGAAGTGACTTCTGGATTTGGTTTCATTTGGGGAGCGTTGGTGCTGAGGAGCCTAAGATTGATGTTTTTCTGCTGTAGGCTGTGGCTACTCCCGAGGAAACCTTGAATAAAGACTAGATTTAAAGAGGCTCTTATGCTACTGATGGCCGTAATTTGTCTGATAGTCGCCACGGTAACCATCTTGGAGTCACGAATAACATCACGTTGATGTCTTGTCCCTCCGCCTGCTCCCTTTCAACACCTAAACGCCGCGCCGCGGGTGGGGAGGCGGGCAGCAAAAAGGGCGGGAATCAGAAGGAAAACATCCCTCTTCCTCCCTCTCCAGGGCCCAAGGCTAGGATGCTGTGAAGTCTTTATGAAAGCCATTGAAGACTTTTGCTTTATAAGTGTTCTCTTAACGTGTTGTTCACGATCATTTGTTAGTGTAGGCCGGGCGCGGTTGCTCACGCCTGTAATCCCAGCACTCTTGGAGGCCGAGGCAGGTGGGTCTCCTGAGGTCAGGAGTTGGGAGACCAGCCTGAGTCAGAGCGAGACCCCATCTCTAAAAATAGTCAGGCATTGGACTGGGTGCCTGTAGTCCCGTTACTCGGGAGGCTGAAGCAAGAGGATCACTTGAACCCAGGAGTTGGAGGTTGCTGTGAGCTGTGACGCCAGGGCGACATAGTGAGACTCTGTCTAAAAAACAAACAAACAAACAAACAAAAAAAACAAAGAAGAAGAAGAAAATTAGATAAAATGTATGTTGTGGTGGCTTTGAAATGATCATAGGCACTGCCGGTTTGGGGGGCACATCAGTTCCTAGCATGGGAAACTGAGCCATCTCAGTAAAGTGAAAGAGGTAGAAATATTCTTGTTTCTCAGTTATCTCTTCCCATCCACTTTATCTGGCTCTAGTAAAAATTTAGTGGCGCTACCCAGAAACCAGACAGCAAGGAATCGCTTTCTCACGGGGAATACTTCTCCTAACATGTGAGCTGACCACAGACTTTACTCATCTGGGCTACACACTTCTAAGAATGAAAGATGGCACATACTGAATTTCAGTAAAAATGCATACTGCTTTTAATCCACAAAGCATTTTTTAGCTAATAACCAAATAGATCAACACTATTAAATAGGCAAAACTTCTTGGTATTGCCACTAGAGGTCCCTTTGTGCTTGTTTGATGGCCACATTTCCACATTAATGTTTCTCTTCATGTCTTACGTTTACTAGAATTAACATCTGCAAGCTTTGGTCTCTTTACCTTTCCCTCCCTGAAAATTCCCGATGGTAAATTTTGTGCTCTAAAATGCAAACAGAGCTTTCACATTAATATTAAATTAATTACTGCACTACCATGTACATGTAATTTACTGGAAAAGATTATAAGGGATGCAAAAACATTCCTAGTTCTCTGGGAGACATTTTATACCAGGAAATAGTTTTATTCATGCATTGTATTCACATACAACCGGGCACAGTAAAAATCATTAATTATTCATAAACCAGATAAATGATCCTATGCACAGTATTTGAAAGATGGGCTATGTTTTCTACCATGGCCATATGTCAGTAATTCTATTCTAAAAAGGGAAAGGTTAAGATTGAAATCCATTTGTTCAAAGCAATGTCTACCTTCTCCTCTTATGAAGCTTGACAATTTCTTTGACTTTCAAGGTAAGTGATTTATCTTGTAGGGAGTTTTTTTTTTCCTAGATAGAGTCTCACTTTGTTGCCCTCAGTAGTCGCGTCACAGCTCACAGCAACCCCAAACTCTTGGGTTCAAATGATCCTCTTGTCTCTGTCCCAGTAGTGGGACTACAGGTGCGGGCCTCAACACCTGGCTATTTTTAGAGACAGGGTCTTGCTCTTGCTCAGGTTAGTCTCCAATTCCTGAGCTCAGGCAGTCCACCCACCTCTGCTTCCCAGAGTTCTAGGATTACAGGCATGAGCCACCCCACCTGGCTCGTGTAGGGAGTTTTTGTATGTAATTTTCAGAAGAGAAACTAAAAAGTCCCCTGCCCCTGTAACTCTGGCCCTGAGAATTGTGTTTCCTGTCTTAGTGAATTGCTTGCTCATTTTCTATGGAGAATTAACATGCTGTGTACCTCAGAAGATGTTAGATGCTGAGAATGTAAATAAAGTATTATTTGCTTTTTTGACATTTTTTTTTTGAGACGGAGCCTCAAGCTATCCCCCTGGGTAGAGTGCCATGGCATCACGCTCACAGCAACCTCCAACTCCTGGGCTCAAGCGAGTCTCCTGCCTCAGCCCCCAAGCAGCTGGGACTACAGGCGCCCGCCACAACGCCTGGCCATTTTTTGGTTGCAGCCATCATTGTTGTTTGGCGGGCCCGGGCTGGGGATTCAAACCCGCCACCTTAGGTGTATGTGGCTGGCGCCTTAGCCGCTTGAGCCACAGGCGCCGAGCCAATAAAGTATTATTTGTAATGGCCATTTTATGTTACTAACTGTATTTTCTAATGTTTTGCAACAAGAGATTAAGCATTTACATCACATAATTTCCAACTATTGTTGTCAGCATGGCTATTAGAAGCAGGCTGAAATAAAATCCCTGGGGACAATTTGCCAGCTTCTCCTCAAGGGGAAGATCCAGGTGCCAGGTCAAGGCAACCATTTATCAACAAAGCTGGGAGGCAGGGAGAAGGGTGGAAGTATAAAGGAAAAGAAAAACGAATTTAACCCCTCTTTTCAATAGACGTCATCAAACTAGGCTCAGGTGACCACCCTTGTTTTTAAAAGACATCTATCACAAATAAAAAATGTGCTTTTACTTTTTGTTTCAATTTGTGGTACCACACAAAGCATAAGTTTAAAAACATTTAATGATTTACAAGTAAAGAGAACTTGTAATTGTCAGTATTATCTTTGGTATTATTAACAGGATTATGCGAAAAAAAAAAGAATTCATAATACCCATTAAAATAACTGATCTGAGGCTCGGTGTTCATAGCACAGTGGTCCTGACGTCAGCCACATACACCGAAGCAGGAGGGTTCGAACCCAGCATGGGCCTGCTAAACAAAAACGACAATTGCAACAAAAAATAGCCGGACGTTGTGGTGGGCACCTGTAGTTCAGCTACTTGGGAGGCTGAGGCAAGAGAATCGCTTAAGCCCAAGAGTTTGAGGTTGCTGTGAGCTGTGACACCATGGCACTCTACCGAGGGCGACATAATGAGACTCTGTCTCAAAAAAAAAAAAAAACTGATCTGAAGGAATGTTTTAATTTTTTGTTTAAGTGGTAAAGATATCAGTAATTTCGTGTAATGGAACCAAATAGATTTAGCATTATGTCTTTAAAGAGTACGACGCATACCAGGGATATGGCT